AAAAAAAAATAACGAAATATAAAAAATTAATAAAAATAACTCACAAAATCCCCGCACACGTCAGCAAAACGGCCGACGCCGCACAGCCGCGTAGCTATAAAAGCCTGTACACATTCCCACATCCCTTATTCACTGACCCGCGGGTCAAAAGATGCGGCGGGATCTTTTTCTGCGCCTACGCTCTCTTGCAGCTCTCCACTCCAAAACCCTTAGCTGCTCCCCAAACCCTTCCTCTCTCCACCAGCTTCATCGATCCTTGCAGCATGAAATCCGTCCTCACTCTTCGGTTTCCCTCCGTTTTATAAACCCTTTTCCTCTACTCTCCCGCGCAATCTCCTCCACTTCTTCAAGTAATCTCTCTTTCTCCCTCCCACCACTTTTTGCAGAAGAACTTCACGATGTTTAAATTCTGAGAGAATTTGTAATGAATGGTTGCAGGTCCTGCTAACATTGTTCATATTGGATCTGAGGAAGGTTTTAATGAGGCGCTTAAGAAGGCTCAGGGTTAGTCTTTTTGTGAAGATTTTGACCTAGGGTGTTATTTGTAAACTTGGGTTGATGGGTATATGCTTAATTTGTTTTTGTTTTGGTGTTGCAGATGAGAAATTGCCGTCGATTTTCTACTTCACGGCCGCCTGGTGTGGACCGTGTAAGCTTTTGGAATTTTACTTGTGTCGAGTGATATTTCTGTGATAGCTTTTGGAATTTTATTGTCTCTGATGGAAAGGTTGCGGAATGTTAGGAGATTTTTTTTTTCTTAATTAGAACAATATAGTGTGGTGCACAACTTACAAAAGAAGTTTTAGGAATTTAATGATGAATTTTATCTATCTTTTTATTGGATATCTGATCTGTAGTTTACCTGTTCGATTACTTGTATGAGTATCGATGTGATGTGAGGTGATCTACTAACTTTTGTTGTCATTTACCATGTGCCAGTTTTGATAGAACCTCATAACCCCTCTCTGTTTTTGGTCTTTTTTTTAGCTTTCATGATTCTTTGCGTTATAAGTTTTTGATAACATCTCATGTATGAAAAATCTAGAAGATTGTAGATAAATCTGCAAGAATTGTGTGAAGTTTGTGGCGCTTATTCAAAAATCTCAATTTGGCTTATAGCATATCGTTGCCCCAACCAATAAATTAGAAATAGCTTAGATTTTGGTTGATTTTCTTATAAGGGTCTGTTTGGTAGCGGGTTTAAGCAGGATTTACCGCAAAATCTTCCCAACTGCAACTAATGCTCTGAAAAATCATGCAGCTTCTTAAATCCCTTGCTCACTCCATTTTGCCGCAAATCAAGGATTTACTAAATCC